AATCCTGGCAGATGGCTTAGTTTCTAAGTATCCCAACTGTGACCTGGTGTCGTCCTCACAGTTTATACTGGCAGATAGCATAATATCTCTAGTTTGATGTGTTTCAGATTCATGCCAAGATAGCCCCTCTCCTGAAGAACCTTAACTGGAAGAAAAGTTAGGTTCAAGTGTGAAACACAAGGCAGCGGCACAACAAAACACATAAAATAGCAAAATAGTTTATTACTTATGGGTTCTGAAAAGAAGAATATCAACAAGGGCCTCTGTCGCAGGCACTGTGCTCAACCTGCAGGGAGAAGTGGACCCCTGTGCTGAGGCCTTTATTAGGCTCCAAGGTGATACCCAAGCAGGTTTCCTATGGGGAGTCCTAACTGATGGGCTTAAAGCCAGCGGATCTGAGCCCTTTAGGACCATGCCAGTGCTTAGGAGCGGCCACTGTGGTGTAACTGCTCAGCCCATGTAAGACACAGGCATCACTGTGCTAAGTCCAGTAGGTGGAATCTGTGTTTCCCAGGCAGTGACTGTATGAGGCAGATATCTGGATAGGCCTCACTGAAGAACTGGCAAGAGATGGAGAGATCAAAACTGTTTCAAGGATAACTAAGCCCAACTTCTAGGTAAGTCAGTTAATGCTATATTCAAAATGGATGCCAAAGCAACATAAAACTACAAACATTGACAACACCTTTGCCCACTATCTTAGCTGGCCAGATTGCCATAAAAATATACCACAGACAGTGGCTTAAACATCAGAAATCCATCTTCTCACGTCTGGAGGTTAGAAGCAGATCAATGTGTCCACTGATCTGGTCTCTGGTGAGGACTCTTCTTACAAATTACCCACACATGGCAGAGAAAGGCAGAAAGAGAATATGAGAAAAGGCAGAGTGGGAGAGAGAATTCTGCGAAGTTTCTTCTTATAAAGACAATAATCATATCAGATCAGGGCTCTACCCTTATGACCTCATTTAAATTTAGTGACTTCCTTAGAGGTCTGTGTGCAAGTACAGCCCCACTGTGGGTTAGGTTTTCCACACATGGATTTTGGAGGGACACCAACATTCATCCCACAACAGCATCCTCTATTTGGTTCCTCTCTCACATGCCTGGTTCCTTACTCCTACTTCCTAAGATCACTGTCCAAATAAACTATTTGTAGCAATAGATCAAGTTCTACTTTTGTGGAAACCCAGGCTAAGACATGAATTTCTATAATGCATTGTTTGTAAACAGTGAAAGAAGAAAATAAGAGAAGGAGGAAGAAAGGAAGAAGGAGAGAAGATACAGAAGAAAAATCTCAACATTAATCAACACAAAAATGGAAAAATAAGGTGATATATATATGTATACAAAACAGAATTAAGTATTACAGTTAAAATGACAAGCAAATCAAAGAATGAATACAGTATAATTGCATTTATATGAAGCTCTAAACAGATGAAACTCATACTATTATGTTATTTTGTTGTTGTTTAGGGAATTGGTTCACATGTGGTAAAACTATAAAGAAATCAAGGAAATGACAAAGATATCATTCTGGGTTACCCCTGGGGGTGAAGAAAGAGGGATGCAGCATTATTGGTAACGTTATCTGAAGCTGGGTAGTGGGTATTTGGATGTCTACTTTTTTTTTGTTTTTTTATATCATATGTGTTACCTTTATACCATGCATATGAAGAGTCTTTAAAAATATGTGAAAAAGCCATATTATGAAAAAACTATATATAGATTTCAGAAAAAAATTAAAGATAAACTTTTTATTCAATCTCAGTGAACTTTTTGAAGTAGCCTTATATGGCATAATTTTAGTATTATATAAATATCTAATCCCTTTATTCAACATCTTAAAGTAGATAACATTTCAAAACCAAAAAGCATTAACTTGAAACATTAATGGTGGATTTTGAAAACACAAGTTTTACTAAGGATGTACTCACTTAACTTTTTTTTTTTTTTTTTTTTTGACAGGCAGAGTGGACAGTGAGAGAGAGACACAGAAAGGCCTTCCTTTTCCATTGGTTCACCCTCCAATGGCTGCTGCGGCCAGCACACTGTGGCCAGCGCACCGCACTGGCCAGGAGCCAGGTGCTTCTCCTGGTTTTCCATGTGGGTGCAGGGCCCAAGCAGCAGGGCCATCTTCCGCTGCACTCCCAGGCCACAGCAGAGAGCTGGACAGGAAGAGGAGCAACCGGGACAGAATCCGACGCCCCGACCGGGACTAGAACCTGGGGTGCCGGCGCCGCAGGCGGGGGATTAGCCTATTGAGCCGTGGCGCTGGCCCTCACTTAACTTTTAAAAATGAAACAGCAAACTTGTTTTTACCAACAACATTTCCAAATTCATCTAGGGGAAATCCTAGGAGCAGAAAGAATATTTCTTCCATAGGCAGAATACACGTTGAGATCCACCAAACAGAAAGCATCTATCAAGAATAAGTTTTAGGAGGGAATTAATTTTAAAATTAACTAATCTACATGACTGAAAAACTTTAAATAAAACTCTAAACCCAGCAACAGCAAAGATAAGGTGCCTTTCCCTTCCCCTTCAGAGCCTGGTTTTGCTAACTGGATACAAGCCAAGAGACTTTAGAGGACTCCATTTTTCACTCTATAAGATGAAGACAATACTTGCCATCTCCCAGATAAAGGTTATGAGGATTAATCTGTCCATAAAGCATTTGGAGGTCTTTGTAATAAAGATGAAAAGCACATATTAAATTTGTTGTATTTCACAGGTGTGAGCTCACAAGACCAGTTACCTTGAAACTATTTATTCCCTAAGAATTAGGCCTACAGTATAATATTCTCTGACACCAAATATGTACTTAGATCTTATTTAAGGTATCATGGTCTCAAATAACGAGGCTTCCCATTGACATGGTTGATTAAGAGAGATGACAGCAATTTTCCACTTCCTATTTTTGCATGCATTTACCCTGGTTGGAATGTGGTTGAAATTTAAAATGTGCAAATTGGTTACAACTTTCTCCTGGATAACACCCTAAAAACAGCCAAGGATGGGCTGTGTTGCTAGTTTAAAAGCCAGAAACCTAAATGTCATATAAAAGGTAGTCATTAATATTTATCTTTAAAAATGAACCCGAGCTAGCCAAAGATAATTTTTTTCCAAATAAAAGTCATTATCATTACCATTTACTAATGGAACCCTGTTTATTTATTATTGTCACTTAGCATTATGGGAAAAGTGCCTTTCAAGAATTCACATCTGTCTCTCCCCTAAACTCAACATTTCTATGTGCCATAGTATAAAAGTAAAAAAAAAAAAAAAAAGTATATTACTTTTAAGATTTAGGCAGTGAAGTAACTCCATGCCTAGGCCACTGTAGCTTCAGGGTCAAAAGACTTTAGTTTTAGTTTCCAGAAATATTGAGCTATCATGGCCTCTTCCACTCTTTTTGCAATGTAACAACATCTCTGAAGATATCTAAAAAGTCGATTTTTCTTCCCGTCAAATTTCCCCGACTCATTTTCTCATCTACTTATTCATTCAACAAACATTTATTAAATACCAATTAATACATACAAATGCTTTGTAAACTGAGAAAATGCAAATAAAACATAATTGCTGCCTTTAAGGAAATGCATTGTTTAGTAGACAAGACGGAGAAGGAAATAAATAATCATGATTTAGTATTATTTCTAAAAAATCAACATTTCAGGGGCTTGTGTTTTGGCATAGCAGGTTAAGCCGCTCGCTGCAATGCCAGCATCCCATATGGACATTGATTCAAGTCTTGGCTACTCCACTTCCAGCCCAACTGCCTGCTAATGTGCTTGGGAAAGCAGTGGAAGATGCCCAAGTGGGACACCTGGAAGAAGCTCCTGGCTTCGGCCTGACTAGCCCTGACCGTTTCAGTCTTTGGGGGAATAAACCAGCAGATGGAAGATGTCTCTGTGTTTCTCTCCCTGATAATGCTGCCTTCCAAATAAATAAATATAATCTTAAAAGAATCAATATTTCAAAAAATTAAATGCATGTTTTTAGCATGCAAGCTTCAATGATCCTGTGGAACCCCTAGTTAAAATGCTGTCATGGCTTTCATGGTTTTTAGGATAATCTTGGAATTTGTACTAAGAACCTGTCATGCAAGTTCCTGGAAGGGACAGTGCTACGGCACAGTGGGCTAAGCCATGGCCTGCAGTGTCAGCATCCCATATGGGCACTGGTTCTAGCCCAAACTGCTCTACTTCTGGTTCGGCTCTATAGCAATGTGCCTGGGAAAGCAATGGAGGATGACCCAAGTGCTTGGGCCCCTGAACCTACATGCGAGACCTGGAAGAAAACTCCTGGCTCCTGGCTTCAGCTTGGCCTAGCCCCAGTTGTTGCGGTCATTTGGAGATAAATCAGCAGATGGAAAACCAACAGACTTCTGTCTCTTCCTCTCTCTGTAACTCTGCCTTTCAAATAAATGTTTTTAAAAAATGAAAATTGCTGGCACATCACTAGCAGTTGAGTCCTCTCCTGCAGCAATGACTTCTCACAACCCAAGCCATGGCAAAACATCTCTCTTATGCTTTGCCTATGCTGTGCTCTTTGCCTGGCATGGCTGGCAGCACTTTCTGTTTTACTGGATCATTAGAAATCTTCAATTACCAACGTAAGAGTCTTCTTGGAAAGCCTCCTCTGCCTCTTTCAGTTTTACTTAGATACCTCTCCTCTTTGCTCCTACAGAATTGTGTGCACATTATTTGTAGTGTGTGTTTCCCTTTATTTTCCCTGGTAGAGTATTCAGTCCTTGAAAGCAACACTATTTGATCACAGTGCTTTCCTGCATCACGTCTACTCCATAAACTCTGTTGACCTACAACTTTCCAAAATGAATAAATAATCATGCCTCTTTACAATGAGACATTGAAACAAGAAAACATAAGAAACTATAAGAGCAGGAGAAGAAAAGCAGTAACTCAAAATGGGTATGAACCTGGGGAGTGGGCAAAGGGTTGAAAGTTCCCCTACACTGGTGGTGTCTCCTTGCAAGCATGACTGGGCATAAGCTGGACATCCTGATGGAGGAAGGCATGCCTGCTGATGTGAACTACTGTGTTCATGGCTACGGAACAGGTGCAGTGGCATGCAAGAGACAGCCACGTCTCCCAGGTAAACAAACCAACAAGAAAGAAAGAAATGTTGACCCACAGCCAAAAACCGATTCTAAAGTAAATGCATATTCCCTTTGAGCATACCTTCTAGGAGACTATAACTGAAGAATTAGGTTAGCAGTTCACCTCCCCTCCATTCTTTCCAGCCTTCCCTGTCTCTCCTTACCTGCTCATTTACATGATCACTCTCCACTCTCATCCACCATCTTCTTTTGTTTATGTTCCTCCTTGCTGTTACAGGAATAGTTAATTAAACAGTTTTCCTAATAACTGAGAACATTTTTGGAACTTAAAGATCATCCTGACCTACTTGGCTTTAAATAAGAGGAATATAAAGATACAAACAGGACAATACTCCTAACTTCTTACAGTGGTCATTCTTAGTTTTATAGCAAAAAGCAGGACCTGGTCTCTAAGCTTCTAATGTAATAGCTTCAGACTCTTGACCAGCAAGCTCCTACAACTTTCTATGAAATTTAAAAAATCTATTTAGGCCCAGGAAAGTAGTTACCAAACACTGCTTCCTCACAGCATGACAGCAGCCCTTCTCAATATGGACTATAATCTCCACCTCCTGGAGACTGTAATTATGTGAGTATAGAAGATTATCATTTTGATAATGGATATGTGGAGCATGAAGATTTCCCTCTTGTTAAGACATATTTTTTATATCAAAGCACTGTGTATATAACAGAGTGAGAAATTATATTAATGGCTGGCATAGGCATTCATCTTAAGAATTCTGTATTAGATAGGGTGGCCCTATTCGTGTGAATTGAGGATTAAGATGGAGTAGCAAGTATAGCTAGCAAGACATTGGAGAAACCCTTCCTGTTGACACCACTGCTCTTCAGTAATTGAACTCTCGAAATGTCTGGTGTGGGGTGATCCTTGTGGGAGCTGATAAATGACAGGTCTGTTTGCTCCAACTTGTTTAAATTAGAACTGAGAAGGCACACATTGTTCAGCAACTAGCAACACCTGACCAATATCCATACCCCAACTCTTCTTCCTTATTAACAGAACCTCACATTTTCAGGATGAAAATGTGCCCAGGTATTCAGTTCTACCGAACAAGACACAAGTGATAGTGATTCTGGTTTCCTAATGGAGGGTACCTCCCCAAATCCCCCTCTTCTTTCTTCCTATCCGAGTGTGACCAGGGGAATGAAAGTGGAGCAGTCATCTTACAACCAGGAGGACACAAGTGGTACACGGAGGACTGAGGACCAGAAGAGAGACTGGGGCGGCACTGATGTTGTGAAGCTAGAATGAGAAAAATAATCCCCTATGTGACTCACCATTGCATTGCATTTCTGCTACGTGCTGCTAGAAGCAGGTCTTAACTAATACATATTTGCAAACTGGGAATAGGGGAGAGACAGAACCCCAAAGGACAAAGCTAAAAAGGAATGTGCAGAATGCTAGGGGAGGCTTTGAATTCTCACAGGCCATGAACCCAGAGCTCAGAGACTTGGATGAGACTATTGGTTTGAAAAGGTAGGAATAGCAGAAGTCTATTCACATGACAGTGCAAGAAGCTTTTTCGAAAAGAATTCATTCTTGAAGGGAAATATAGATGTGTAGGAGATGTCTCAGGGATAATGAACTTGTCAGAGAGAAAGCATTACACACAGACCTTTTCTATTAGTTTTCTCTCTGGCAAACGCCTGAGGACTCCTGCCTGAGTTCTAGAACAAGGAGGCTGCAAACGGAAGCAGTAAGCCTAACGTGCACTTTTCCTAAATGCACTTCCTAATATGTGTAGAATCTAAAGTATCAGATTCATAACACCAGCTGTGATAGGAGTACTGCTGCTGAAGGCAGTCACTGCAGTGTTGGCATAAAGACTGGTAAAAATGACAGGTGTTTCAATGGCAGCTTCAGTGCCCTCGAGTGCATCCATCAGTCAATCTGGTGCAGAGCTCTGAATGTCCCCTGCACCTAACACACCCATAGACACCATCTATGGTAGTTACAATTCTGAGGATGTCCCCTGTCCCAGTATTCCCAATACCTGGTCATTCAGCCACTAATCAGGACACTTCCCTGAAAGGACTCTGCAGAACTAATTAAGATTAGTATCATTTGACCTTTGGGTGGGGTGGGCCAGAGAAGACACATGAGATTCTAAAACTCAACAGAAGAATGTAAAATAGTGAGACAGAACGCACAAGGTAGAAGGAGAGGTCAGCTGGAATCAAAGTATGAGATAAACCTGACCTGCCTTTGCTGTCTTTAACAATGAAAGGAGCCACAGGCCAGTGAATGCAAGCAGTCTCCGGAAGCTGAGAATTCTCCTCACTGCCAGCAAGGACGCAACAAGAATCAGCTCTACAGCCACTTCCAACTGAATATTGCCAACCTCTTGAAAAGCTCAGAAGCAATTTTTTTCCAAAGATTCTAGTAAGGAATGCAGTCCCCTCAATGCCTGGATTTTAGCAGAGTGAGGTCCATGTTGGACTTCTGACATGTTTTATATTTATTTATGTATATACATAATTCTATAACATCTTAAACTATTAAGTCTTGGTTACTATGACATCAGGAAACTAATATATTATTCCATATTTTTACAAATATTCCGCTATATAACTGTCTCCACTACTAAACCCCCATCCTTAGAACATGAAGAGTACCTTAGTCATCCTGTTAACTTGTTTCTCTGTACCTACTCCTCCTAGTGTCTCTTTCCCTCTTTCTCTGTCTATATATAGCTTATATATTTATATATTTCATTACATTCCTTTAAAATATCCATTATTTGTTTTCAAATATATTTGCATGTATGATAGTTGAATACTGCTAAGGTATTTTTGCACAAAGGAAAATGAAGTCTAGCCTCATTTACTCATATCAAATAGTAAGTGTTACCTTTAAAAAGGCATGTGTACATTGTGTCCATGAACAGAACAGAAGCTGTTCACTGCAGAATTCTTGGTTGTTCCTTACAATCACGTTAACTGGGGAGAACTGTAGAGATAACATTAGGCCTCTTGCATCAGTTGTTGATTTAAATTTGCTCTGAGGTGCTGGTGTTGTGGGGCAGTGGGGTAGCCTTGGCTTGTAACATCGGCATTCCATGTAGGAGTGCTGATTCTGAGTCCTAGCTGCACCACTTCTGATCCAACTCCCTACTGGTGTTCCTGGGAAGGCAGCAGATGATGGCTCAGATACTTGGGCCCCTGCCAGTCACGTGGGGGACCTGGGTGGAGTTCCTGTCTCCTGGCTTCAGCAAGGCCCAGCCATAGCTGTTGTGGGCCTGTGAGGAGTAAACAAGAAAATGGAAAACTGCGCTCTCTCTCTTTCTCTCTCTCTTCCCCAAGTCCCTGTTGTTCTGTCTTTCAAAGAAGAAAATAAATAAATCTCTAAAAACCAAAAGAAAATAAGTTTCACTGATATATATTCAACACCTTTTGTAATTGTACTGTTTTTACATTTGTACATGACTCATGTTTCCAGTAGAAAACACATTTTGAAATATTTTTGTTTTGAAAACATTGAAAAAATTGACATTAAAATCACAAAATACGAAAATTCATTTTTAGGGAATTTTTTTAAAAAGGTAAAATCATGATTCTTATACAGATAAAATGTAAACACACCTTGAAGATTTTATTGAACCCATTGATGAGGAAACTGGTGAGATGCTCAAATCCTTTCAAAGAAGAATCCTAAGAATATTTGTAGATCAGGAATACTAAATAAACTTGAAAATGGAGGCAAACTTCCTTTTTCCATATTAGAGAGGGGAAGTCCCTTGAATATGCATGTGACAGAATTTGTTTAGATATCTATAGATAATAATTACTTTCTACTGTTATCAATTATTTAAAACTATCATATTGTAACATAGTTCAAAGGTAACAAAAAAGTGAACAGTAACCATTGAATCAGAGTCATCAGCATACATGTGGTTAAAACAATGCATAGATTTCCACTGAAACAAAATTTGTCTACTCGTCTGTGTATCTCAATTTGCAAAACATGATTGTAACTATGGGAACCATAAAATGCTTTTGAACAGAGTAACAGATAACAAGTCTAATAATACTCATAGATTTGCCAGAGATCTATAGGTTGAGTCAGAAAATTATAGAAATAGTAGATAGAAAAACTAACAAAATATTTTAAAAGGCCCAAGTACTAAATGATAAGCAGTATCATTAGAGTTGAAAATAATGAACAAGTATGTTATTTCACTGATAGACTTGCCGTGTTGTTCACCTAAATTGAGAGGGAGAAAGAGCGATCAATAATAATTCTAAAATGTTTACACCTGAAATCCTAGAACAGTGTCAGGCATTACTTCCAAGAAAAATGCAGAAGTCATGGTGTCGAATTGATCCTGAGTATATAATGAACAATTTTTTTTTAATTTTGTGATGATAGTGTAATATTCGCATCCTAACGTTCTACATAGAGGAGGAACTCATGCCTCATTTTGAAAACTGCCCAGGGGCCGCCACTATAGCATAGTAGGCTAAGTCTCTGCCTGCGGAGCCAGCATCCCATATGGGAAAGCAGTGGAAAATAACCCAAGTGCCTGGGCCCTGCACCCTCGTGAGAGACCCAGAAGAAGCTTCTGGCTTCAGATTGGCCCAGCTCTGGCCATGACAGCCATTTGAGGAGTAAACTAGCAGTTGGAAGACTTTTCTCTCTGTCCCTCCCTCCCTGAAACTATGCCTCTCAAATAAATAAACAAAAATAAAATCCAGCCCCTCCCCCAGGTGGCAGCTCTGGAACCTAACTTGGAAAATAGATAGGGCTCTGAAATGCCAGGCTAATGGCAAGACTAGCCAGGTCTGCTCTCAGCACCAGTGCAGCTCCTGACTCTGGGCCCTCCACTGGAAGGCAGCTGGGGGTTTACACAGCAGGGCCCTGAGTCCCAGGGATAGACCAGAGCACTGCCACCACAGTCGCCCACCACAGGGAAAGAAGGTGTAGAGAGGAGACTTCCCAAGGTCCTACTGGAACAAAAGCCAAAGTAGCCTCCCA